CTCTGGCAACAGCTTTGGCCAATTGCACACTCCCTCAACTTGAGAGATCTGTGGCATTGTGTTGTGTGATTAATCTGCACATTTTAGAGTGGCCTTTTATTGTCCCCAGCAGAAGGTGCACTTGTGTAATGATCATGCTGTTTAATCAGCTTCTTGATATGCCACACCTGACTGTTGGATGGATTATCTTGGCAAAGTAGAAATGCTCAATAACATTTTAGATAAATAAGCTTTTTGTGCATATGGAACATTTCTGGGATCTTTTTTTTCAGCTCATGAAACCAACACTTTATATGTTGCATTTATATTTCTGTTCAGTGTGTGTATATATACACTGAGTGTACAAAACATTAAGGACACCTGCTCTTTCCATAACATAGACTGAGCAGGTGAACGCTATGATCCCTTATTGGTGTCACTTGTTAAATCTACTTCAATCAGTGTAGATGAAGGGGAGGAGACAGGTTAAATAAGGATTTTTAAGCCTTTCGACATGGATTGTGTATGTGTGCAATTGAGAGGGTGACTGGGCATGACAAATATTTAAGTGCCTATGAATGGGGTATGTAGTAGGTGCCAGGCGATCCGGTTTGTGTCAAGAACTGCAACGCTGCTGGGTTTCTCATGCTCAACAGTTTCCTGTGTGTATCAAGAATGCTTCTCCACCCAAAGGACATCCAACCAACTTGACACAACTGTGGGAAGCATTGGAGTCAACATGGGCCAGCATCCCTGTGGAATGCTTTCGACACCTTGTAGAGTCCATGCCCTGACGAATTGAGGCTGTTCTGAGTGCAAAAGAGGGTGCAACTCCATATTAGGAAGTTGTTCCTAATGTTTTGTACACTGTATTTTGATCAGACCGATGTTGCTACAGCACTGTGGCCTGGGTGTTTTCTTTAAGTTTATGATCACATTGCCAAATCACCAACGGCACAGCACCATAATGCTCGTGTAGAAATGTGTTGCACAACGTTTCACTTTAAAAAGAAGCCCACCGTTCTGTAGCAACATCGACCTGATCAAAACATTGAAAGCGACTGGCATAATTGTAGGCATACATAAGTATGATCATACATTTTCACAATTGTGCATTAATGAGGCCACCTTCTCAATTAACTTTCTATGTCCAAAAAGCTGCAGAGACGACGATTACACACGGCGATAAAGTAGGAACGCCAGAATTGTGATAGCCTAGGCTAGTGTGTTTAAATAGATTTGTTTGGGAAAATCTAAATCATCTGCATTTCCTAATAATTTAACATTAACTGATAGATGATAAAAAATAAAATAAAAGGATTAGCGCAGTGCAATTGAGACCGCCGCGTAGCACAAACAACCCTCTTTAAAAAAACAGCTACCCGCCCATAAACACCCTCCTGTAGCTGTGTGGGATAACGCTATTGGCTGGTTTAGGCAAAGCTGGTGGATAAATGAAGATAGTGAACTAAGGCCGTTTACCATTAAAATCTATTTTCAGTTTCAGTCTACTTAACTGGGTGTTTCTCCTATAGACACCAATGCAATAGCAGCTGGGTCTGGTCTCCTTAATACATTATTTAATTGAGAACAAAAACGTCTCTGGTTTAGGTTTTGACATTTCCCCTGATTGGTTCACTTGCGCTTGCGCTAACCAGAAGGGGATTCGATTAATTCCCCGTGCAAACCCGGTTAGCATTGATTACATTCGTTTTGAAACCGGGCTGGCTACCGAGCAGGGACGGCCTGTTCAATAGGGCGATATGGGCGACGCACTGCCAAACGGGAAAAGGAAGGGATTTTTTTTCTAATCAATTATATCACGGCAACAGTAGTTATCAGTGTTGTAATCTATACGTCTGATCTGCCACAGTGCCACACTGCCACTAAATGTCGAATCAGGCTAAAGTCGTGCTTCAAATGGCTCCACCCCCTTTTGGGGCGATTTCAGTCAGATTGAAAATCGCCCAGAACTTCTGTCATAGACTCCCATGTAAAATCTATTTTTTTCAAATTTCAGAGCCTTCAATACAATCTCAATGGGTGTCTGTGGGCTTGCACTTACGCGCTTTCGTCATACGTTACGTAACCATGAACGTAACTGAGAAAAGAGTGGATTGTTTGAAAGAAGTTCCTTTTTGTCGGCGAACAAATGAAGATAAATTGGCAACGAAACAATTAGGACCTCCCAGACCAAATTTAATAATTCAACAGGTTTCTACTAAAGGCGGAAAGTCCTACACCCGAGGATTTTCCAAAAATTGGTACGAACGAAAAAAGACATTGCCACTCACTCAACTGGATGACGAGGGATACAGGCTAGCTGTCCGCCGCCACAACGATGAGGTTAGTGTTGATAATCACAAGTTTACTGGATGTGGATATGGTGTAATAAAGGCAGTTTATTCAGAGGTAAATATATCTGGAATCGCGTTCACGGACCCGTTCGTCAAACTCTTAAAAATGAACTTGGGCTGGGAATTGCCAGGAACCTCACGATAAGATATATGCATCAGCATTGCGAGTCTCATGATTCTATACGTATTGCGATTCGATACTGTGATTTTATTGCGCACCATATGTCTGTTGCAGAGGGATCAGAAAGCCATGAGAACGAGTTTTGATCAGTCATGGAAATAAAAGTGCTGAAAACAAATTGGCTCCCAATGTGAGAACAAGCTATGAAGGAACAATAATGGTGTTTTGGTGCAGGTACAGCCAACTAGCGCTAAAATATTGCGATATTGTCAATACAGTATATCGTAAAGTATCACTATGTAACTCGATTTCTTTCACCCCAATCCCTCAAATTAACGGTAAATAACTGAATTGTTTGCCCCACATTTAGCTAAGATGATTAGCTAGCCAGCTAAAATGTTTTAGTTAGTTAGCAGTCGCATCTACAATAGTTTACTGTCAATAACATGTCTCCAAAAATGACGTGGTGTCTCCAATTGTGTTGACATTTTACAATTGCAATGCGCATCCATGAGTATCCACTTTCTGTAGCTCAGCTGGTAGAGCATGGTGCTTGTAACGCCAAGGTAGTGGGTTCGATCCCCGGGACCACCCATACACAAAAATGTATGCACGCATGACTGTAAGTCGCTTTGGATAAAAGCGTCTGCTAAATGGCATATTATTATTATTATTATTATTATTATTATCTGAAGAGAGCCCCGAAACATTGTGTGCAGACATTTTATGCAATAAATGAAGTAGGTTCAATCTAGTAGTTCTGATCTTCTGATTGGTCCTGATGAGTTGGGCGAGGTCCCCTGCAGGCTACTGTCACTGTTGCATTGGCTCTGAGTCGGGTTCTCTGTCTTCAAATGTTCAGCCTAAGAGAGGGGATTTTTGTGTGTGTGTGTGTGTGTTTAACAGTGATGATGTGTGTGTGTGTGTTTAACAGTGATGATGTGTGTGTGTGTGTGTGTTTGTGTGTGTGTGTGTCCTCAGAGCAAGAACTCGTGAGTTGGAAGAACTGAGAGGCCTATGGCGTGGGTGTTGTCCTTGGCCACCTGCTGACAAGGCTGACAAGATAGGACCCTTTTGTCCATTGTTATTGGATAGGAACAGAACTTATAACCAGCTCCTGACCTAAATAGATCTTAGCACAACATTTTACTCAACATATCATATTCCATATTCACTATAACAAATATATTTACTACGACATTAGCAAGAACCGCCACATCCTCAGCCGGCTAATCCAGTGTGTGAAGTTTTGCGGAGTGTTTGAGTTAGCTTTGCGAGGCAAAGATGAAACTGAGGGCTCCACCAACCCTGGTAAGCCAACACTTTTGAGATCAGTCAATAAATGCTTCTGGTATTGACTTATATGCTGCCCCTGTCTTCATGTTGTTGCTGGACATATCTTTTTTTAAATGTGTGTAGGTCACCTAAATCATCAGAAAAATTGCCCCTCCTGAGAATTTTTTCAGGAGCCGCCACTGCTACCGAGGGTGAGCCGGGTTCACCGGTCAAAGCCGACGATTAAGTCCGCTGAAAACAAAAATGACGTAGTTCTTTGTAGGCCAGTGTTTTTACATGCAAAAGTTTTGCTCATTATAAAAACATGTATATCGCTATATCTGCCTTCCAAGGAAAACTACCTAGAAATGTGTAGCATTTATTTAATAGAAAATACATTTTTTATGTTTCCGAACGATTCATCATGCTGTTTTGTTGACATTATGGCCCTGTCAAACTCGATTTGAGCCAGGCTCTCCTCCCTCACCGATTTTGCCTGGTGACGGGCAATAGCCCTGTTTTCCCCGGTTCGGTGTAATCGAACTCTCTCCAGGTTGACTCGTCAATTTATACCGCGCCTCTCCTCCCGCAGATAGTAGTCGCAGCCTTGTAGAACAAGACGCTCTACCGCCTCAACTATTACCCACTGACTGTGGTTCTGTTAGAAAACGAAGGTAGGCACTCATAATATCTGCTACAAGGTTATGCTTTTCAAGCGTAGGCATATTGTGCCTAAACGCTTTTATTTGGTCAGTTTTCAGAAGAAGCAATGTATCGATTAAAAACTGTAGCACCAATAATGCCTTGTTGATTGGATACATTTTATCTCAAGGTTTCTTGCCTTGATCTTGCTTGTAGCTAATGTAGGGTATCCATTTTCAGTTTTGAGAAATGGGCAAAAAGTGCTAAAACCCACAATAAAATTTTATTTGAAACTAATTCTGGTTGAGGTGAAGTTGTTAGACTTGTAAAACTAGAGTTTGGAATGTCTTTTGAGACTGTCCCAGTTTAACCAAATGGAGTAAACTGCGTTCATAGAATAAAAATGCTGACTCACTGGTCTAGTAACTTGCAGTTCCAGTTATAAATGAAGTTTATTCAATTTGTATGTACTTTAGACCAGGGAAAATGGCCTTGACTGTATCACTGCTGAAATAACTTCCATGTTCAGAAGGCTTGCCAGTTGCCACTTTCTTGTTACTGTTGACTGACTCTCCCCCCCCCCCCCCCCCCCCACACACAACTTCACACAACTTTCCCTCCCCCAGGTTCCAGGATGTCCCAGAAGATCAAGGCAGGGTCGGTGGTGGAGATGCAGGGGGATGAGATGACCAGAGTAATCTGGGAGCTCATTAAGGAGAAGCTCATCTTCCCCTACCTGGAGATGGACCTGCACAGGTGACTTAAACCTGCTGATACACCTGGGACTGTATTACATTTACATCATTTAGCAGACACTCTTATCCAGACCGACTTACAAATTGGTGCATTCAACTTATGATAGCCAGTGGGACAACCACCTGTTTTTTTTTTTTTTTTTTTCTGTTTTTTTTATGGGGGGGTGGGGGAGGGGGGAGTAGAAGGATTACTTTATACTTCACATTTTGCAATGAAAATGAGCACTTCTTATTGGACAAGTTCAGGTAGTCCCTCCCAGTTTCGACACATTTCCTATACATTAAATATATAGAAAACATAACAGAACTGGAATGAATAGAGCGGAGTCGTATCAGTGTTCTGAATCTACATGATAGACAAGCGTGTCTTTTCTATTCAATATATGTCTGTCTAAAGATTCTGTAACAATGCACCCTGAGGTGCATGGGGAACTGGAGGTAGGGGTTTGTTAACGGGGGGTTGGGGGTGGTATTGGCGTTAGAAGACTTGTCACACCAGACGAGCTTGTCAACACCAGCTTAAGCTCCTCTGTGATTCAGGTTTTACCTGACTGTCGATACTTGAATCTCCAGAGAGATGCCTAACTTGCACTTGAATTGGTGGGTAGGGTTCACTAGGTTGTCATGTAATGCCCAGAGTTTTTCCTGCTTAAGTCACATGTTCAGGAAAACCCCCTGACCCTATAGGTTACAGGAATACACACACGTGATGTTGAAATGCTGGCCATAGCTGTGCACTACACTAACCCTTGACACTAGCACGATATCACCAAGGACAGGTGTGTTAGTTGTCAATGCATATTATTGTGCAACGGCTTCTTTATTGTACTCTCATGTTATGCTGTGTTTGATGTCTGTTCAGCACGTGTTTCCAGTGTTCGGTAGAAGAGAGAGGTGCTGCCCAGATCTAAGGGACTTGCATAATAATTGACCGTTTTTTGAAAAGACAAATGCTTATTCAAATTCTGAGGACCAGTTTGTTCCTAGGTTTAGCTGTTTTTTTAAAGAGCAGTGTATTACCCAAACCGCCAGACAATCTGATCACATGACATCAGCAGACTAGTTGATCTAGATGTGGCGTGGTTGATAGAGTACAAACCAGAACGAATGCTTTCCAAGATGTACAACTCTGGTCTGTCAAATTTTAACTGTTCTAGTCCTATGCTCCAGTCCACTCCTCTTTTTACGCTAGACCTTCAGACTGTGGACTGATATTAAACACGCACACAACATTGGCTGCAGCGCTGTGATTATCACAATTGTACATTCGTTTTTCAGTTCTGTCTTAAAACAGTTAGAAACTTTTGAAGTTTTTGAGAACTGCCAGTTAAAGGCAAAATGCATAAGGTCTGTGTTAAGAGCTTAGAAGTTCTTACTTCTTTCACAATATTTTCAGTATTGATGCAACATGATATGTTGTAATAGTTATTCTATAACCAACAGGACCACGTAGCCTTAGTCATGGTGAAAATACACACCTCCCAGTGTTCCAAACCCATGACCTAACCTTGTCCCCAGGCTATTGCGCACAGCACATAATAAGCCTGGTACATCAATCATTCAAAGCTGGTCTTAGTGGGAGTGGCCATTAGAATTCTATGGGAGTGACTTTAATGAGTAAACTATTTGTCATTTAATTTTAGCGAATCACACGACTGAGGCGTGGCTCTGTGTGCTTGTGGTGTGCTATTGTACGGGGGAGGGTTAGGGGGAAGGTGTTGTGGGAGATGATTGGTTGGTAGAATAAGCTGATGCCTATGCGCCGGGAGTTTCTCCCGGGCTTTCTGTATTGGCTAACAAAGGTAAAGTTTGACACGTTGGTCCACCAGACTCTTCGCGCATTTGGGCGGAAGTGTCTGGGAACGAGATTACCCATGACCTGACCTCTGTGGTCATGTTTATTACAAATGTCCAGGGATGTTTTTTTTTATTTTCTCCAGTAATTCAAAAATGAATCAAATTATTGGCATCTATGAAGTTGGTCAAGCGAGAAGGATGGCTTGAGTTTTTTTTTTCTTGCAGGTTTGTGTTATTCCTGCTGTTTCTGTGTCTGTAGGGCACCCTCATTCGTTTTACAAGTCTTAGGAATGCATTTGGTGTGGTGGGGGATGTGGGTTGAGAGGATGGTTCATCTTGGTCAACCACAGTGCACACCCCCCTCAGGAGGCGCAGCAGCTTATCTCCAGCTCACACCATTACACAAAGCCTGTAGTGCTGTATCACACAGTCTCAGATGTGCTGATTTCCCAATTACGTTGAGTTGCACATCTAACCTGTGGTTGTCTGCATCCTAATATCTCTGATCTGACCTATGTCTGTGGAGCAGCACATTGTTGGAGTACTAGGCTAAGGGGAAGGGAGGGAGAAACTGGGTGAAAGGTTGTTAAACAATACCCAGTTTCCGCAAGGAAAGGCCTACAAGGAAATGTATAGGTATTTATGCTTAGTCTTGTCTTTTTGGACATATGAGTGTAGTGCACACATTTAGTTGTGAATTTGTGGGGGGATTTTCAATTTAGTGTTAGTTAAATCAATAAACCAGTCTTGCTTCTTGCATTGTTGTAGTTTGTGTAAGCAGACAACCCAGTCTCTCATTAACTATTGTACTGTATGTAGAAATAATAAGTTGTTTATATGAACTAATAGCACAAACTCTAATAGCTCAATGCCACCAGGAGTAGGGCGTCAGTTGTCACTAGCTACCACAGCCACAAAGTCATAAACCGCACCTATTTATACAATTTCTCTTCTTAAAATCAAGTTTTAAACAACCTTAACCACACTACTAACCTTATGCCTAACCTTAAATTTAAGACCAAAAAGGCAAATATTTTACAATCTAGCCAATTTTGACTTTGTGCTTGCGGTAACTAGTGGAAATCCAGAGCACCCCCATCGCCTGCTAGGATGTGTTGGGTCTTTCAGAGGAGAAATTCATTAGTTCAGTCACGCAGCAGCAGCCTGCGAAGACTGGCCTCTTTGTTCACATGTTAGCATCTTCTATACTATTTCTGGTTCAGCCTCTCACCAAGCTTACTCTATGGTGACGACACTATCTGATTTACATAATTTCACACTGATTGAATGTTGCTCTGTTTGACACAAACACATTCTACTTTTTGCAAGTGTTTAATTCCTGCTGCCTTTGAAACAGGAAGGTTTTGTTGTTTGCTGTGTCCCGTGCTGCTTGCTACAGAGTGGCTCTGTGTTAGACCTGATAGAGTAGGGGACTCCCTGATCAGGTGGTTCAGTCATCAGAGGTAGGCTTTGGATTGGGAATCCCCACTGACTTTATTATAGAAGGCTAAACGACATCAAACAAAAACACACAGTAAATGTATCAGCATTAAACATGTTAGAATCAGAATAAAGCCAACTTTAATACGAAGAATATGTCCCAAAGATTGGTTTCACAGGCCCACACACTTTTCATAGCATTTGTCCTCCCATGAACCCTAAAGGTAACAATTCTCCTCCTTCCTCCCTGCCGCTCATTTCCCCCCTCCCTGCGCCTCTCCCCTGCTACCCTCCCTGCCCTTTCCTCAGCTACGACCTGGGCATGGAGAACCGCAACGCCACGGACGACAAGGTGACGGTTGAGGCGGCGGAGGCAACGCGACGCTACAATGTGGGCATTAAGTGTGCTACCATCACGCCGGACGAAAACCGGATGGAGGAGTTCAAGCTGAAGCAGATGTGGCGCTCGCCCAACGGGACCATCCGTAACATCCTGGGAGGCACCGTGTTCAGGGAGCCCATCATCTGTAAGAACATCCCCCGCCTGGTGCCCGGCTGGGTCAAACCCATCATCATTGGCAGGCACGCCCACGGAGACCAGGTAACCTTTTACGAACCCTTCAGCAGTAGAACCCTTACTAACCATTCATCAAAACGTATTTATGCCCCCTTAATGATTGGCTCTCTAGGTTTCTCTCTAGGCCCTTCCTCCCTCACTTCCTTGAATCTGATTACCTCGAGAGAAAGGATGGATGCTATGCTACGCCATAGGTAAATGAAGCAATGTGTTAGTGGTACCCCGTCTCTTTTAACACGTTAAGGGTGATATTGTACAGTATCAAGTTGATCACATGTTAACTTCATGCAGACTAGAGATGTGGTTGTTGGGCCTGCTCACAGAGAGACAGATGGGCAGGTGGGGGTAATGGTGTTGTCACTGAAGGCTCTGTCAGTCACTGATTAAATGGATGCGTTGGCCTTTAGACCATGTGTTGACACACTGGCTCCACATCTCAAAGTGCTACGTCATTCATACTGTACTGCAGCTAGAGAACAATCAAACCTCTACATGGCACCATGCCATAGTCAATACGCTTTAACTCCAATTAGGTGGGAACTTGACCTTTTGGTTGGTTACTGTATTTGAGAATCACTTCACTGTATGGCCTGGATGATTGATAAGCAGGATACATGTTTTTTATATTATATTACAGTGCTATTTCGGATTGCTTTTTTGGTTGCATCCACACTCCTGATTGGTTGAAGCCACTCAGAACAATGTTTCATTTTGGACAGACATATCTGTATTTCAGCTCTCTAACAGCAATGTAACCTGTCATCTATTCCAAGATTACAGGTTACTGTCATCTACCCAGTGAACAGTAGTCCAGTGCCTTGTTGCCCCAGACAGGGATTGCACTTCTGCTTTTCTCCACTAGATAGAGCCCTTGTCTGTTACATCTATGACCTCTCTTCTCTCTCCCCCTTTGCAGTACAAGGCCACCGACTTTGTGGTACCTGGACCTGGGAGACTGGAGATGAAATTCACACCCAAGACTGGGGAGCCAATGAACTTTGTCGTCCATGATTTTGAAGGTAAAACCACGTTTACTTGTCGATGAAAAATCAATCTTAAAATGTAAGGGAAATAATGTCCAGTATAGATTGTGTCCCGTATATATAATATTGTGTTAGTCAATATTTTTTAAACATTTTAGTCATTTAGCAGACGCTCTTATCCAGAGCGACTTACAGGAGCAATTAGGGTTAAGTGCCTTGCTTAAGGGCACATCGACAGATTTTTCACCTAGTCAGCTCGGGGATTAGAACCAGTGACCTTTCAGTTACTGGCACAACACTCTTACCAAAGCTACCTGCCGCCCCATATGACATACACAGGCTGGCACCATAGGCTATCTTTATATATGCTTGCAGTGTAAATATTACAATACGAGAACGCCGTTATCTGATTTTAACTCTGAGTTATAAATCAGCCATGTATCTCCCTCTCCTGCACATACTGTAGACAAACATTGAACTTTGATTAACTAGAGGGTGAGATTAAGGTTCGCTCCATCGCTCTGTTTGCACCTTCTCCAAAAAGGCTGTCTTAGTGTGTCTTGTGTGTTTATGTGAGCGTGGACAGTATCTTCATGAGATTGATGCGTCTGTCTGTCTTCCAGGTTCAGGTGGAGTGGCTCTGGGGATGTACAACACAGACAGCTCCATCAGGGACTTTGCCCACAGCTCCTTCCAGATGGGGCTGCAAAAAGCCTGGCCTCTGTACCTCAGCACCAAGAACACCATCCTCAAGAAGTACGACGGACGCTTCAAAGATATCTTCCAGGAGATCTACGAGAAGTAAGTCTGCCTGGCCTCAGACAACATTTGAGTCGAGTAAATCTTTATTGTCCCTATTGACAATATATTTTTCAGCATGTAGTCGAGACTCATGAAACATGAGTCACATACAAAGTATGGTTGATGATAATGGGTCAATGGCAGACAAGCCCCGCTGGTAGAGCTGGTAGAGCACGGCGCTTGTAACGCCAAGGTAGTGGGTTCGATCCCCGGGACCACCAATACACAACAATGTATGCACGCATGACTGTAAGTCGCTTTGGATAAAAGCGTCTGCTAAATGGCTTATTATTATTATTATTATTATTATTACTATGCATATTTTCAATGTCTGACTCCTTTAGAAAAGACAGTATGAGGTTTAGGTGTGTAAACCCTGTTCTCGTACCTGTTCCTGTGTGTCGAAGGCAGTACCGCTCTAAATTTGAGCAGAAGGGGATCTGGTATGAGCATCGTCTGATTGATGACATGGTGGCTCAGGCCATGAAGTCTGATGGAGGATTCATCTGGGCCTGCAAGAACTACGACGGAGACGTCCAGTCTGACTCTGTAGCCCAAGGTAAGACCAGCTAGTTAAGTCCACTCCAGTCTAGTACAGTCGTACTCTGGAATATTCTAAGACACTGTATCCCAATAGAAATTGAGTTAGACTTTTAGTTCCAGAACACTAAGGAGAATGCTGCTTTTATGTTGTCTTGGTAATACTGGCTCTGAGTGTTGTTTACATCCAGTTAGCTGTTAAGTACTTTGTGACAGATGTATTTAATGTCTCTGTGTGTCCCCCAGGTTATGGGTCCCTTGGTATGATGACCAGTGTGCTCATCTGTCCTGACGGTCGTACGGTAGAGTCAGAGGCGGCCCACGGCACAGTTACGCGCCACTACAGACAGCACCAGCAGGGCAAGGAGACATCCACCAACCCCATCGGTAAATTAGACACGATACAATATATGTTCTATTTCATTCTGTCTCTGACTGATAATGCCTGCTCTAAAAAACCTTTTAGCCTAGCTCTTTTCCCTTCTGTGTGTAGATCTGAATGTAGCAGGGGTGTATTTATTACGCCGATTCTGTTGCAAAACATTTTTTAATCGAAACGTAACTGGGAGGGACCTACCTGAATTTGTCCAAGAAAACAGTTTCTATATGTTTGGACTAATGATTACACCCCAGCTAAGAGAAACACAGGCAACACAAGGACCTAGGAAAAGAGCTCAATGTTTTGAAATGTCCTGTGTGTGTGCAGCGTCCATCTTTGCTTGGTCGCGGGGGCTGCTGCACCGGGCGAAGCTGGATGACAACGCAGAGCTGCGTGTGTTTGCCGAGGCCCTGGAGGTCATCTGCGTCGAGACCATCGAGGCTGGCTTTATGACCAAGGATCTGGCTATCTGCATCAAAGGCATGGCGGAGTGAGTATCACACATACAGTTGAAGTCGGAAGTTTACATACACTTAGATTGGAGTCATTAAAACTTGTTTTTCAACCACCCCACAAATGTCTTGTTAACAAACTATAGTTTTGACAAGTCGGTTAGGACATCTACTTTGTGCATGACACAAGTAATTTTTCCAACAATTGTTTACAGACAGATTATTTCACTTAAAATTCACTGTATCACAATTCCAGTGGGTCAGAAGGTTACATACACTAAGTTGACTGTGCCTTTTAAACAGCTTGGAAAATTCCAGAAAATGATGTCATGGCTTTAGAAGCTTCTGATAGGCTAATTGACATCATTTGAGTCAATTGGAGGTGTACCTGTGGATGTATTTCAAGGCCTACCTTCAAACTCAGTGCCTCTTTGCTTGACATCATGGGAAAATCAAAAGAAATCAGCCAAGACCTCAGAAGAAAAATTGTAGACCTCCACAAGTCTGGTTCATCCTTGGGAGCAATTTCCAAATGCCTGAAGGTACCACATTCATCTGTACAAACAATAGTATGCAAGTATAAACACCATGGGACCACGCAGCCGTCATACCGCTCAGGAAGGAGACGCGTTCTGTCTCCTAGAGATGAACGTACTTTGGTGCGAAAGTGCAAATCAATCCCAGAACAACAGCAAAGGACCTTGTGAAGATGCTGGAGGAAACGGGTACAAAAGTATCTATATCCACAGTAAAACGAGTCCTATATTGACATAACCTGAAAGGCCGCTCAGCAAGGAAAAAGCCACTGCTCCAAAACCGCCATAAAAAAGCCAGACTACGGTGTGCATCTGCACATGGGGTCAAAGATTGTACTTTTTGGATGTCCTCTGGTCTGATGAAACAAAAATATAACTGTTTGGCCATAATGACCATCGTTATGTTTGGAGGAAAAAGGGGGTTGCTTGCAAGCCGAAGAACACCATCCCAACCGTGAAGCACGGGGATGGCAGCATCAAGCTGTGGGGGTGCTTTGCTGCAGGAGGGACTGGTGCACTTCATAAAATAGATTTGCATCATGAGGATGGAAAATTATGTGGATATATTGAAGCAACATCTCAAGACATCAGTCAGGAAGTTAAAGCTTGGTCGCAAATGGGTCTTCCAAATGGACAATGAACCCAAGCATACTTCCAAAGTTGTGGCAAAATGGCTTAAGGACAACAAAGTCAAGGTATTGGAGTGGCCATCACAAAGCCCTGACCTCAATCCTATAGAAAATCTGTGGGCAGAACTGAAAAAGCGTTTGCGATCAAAGTGGCCTACAAACCTGACTCAGTTACACCAGCTCTGTCAGGAGGAATGGGCCAAAATTCACCCAACTTATTGTGGAAGGCTACCCGAAACGTTTGACCCAAGTTACACAATTTAAAGGCAATGCTACCAAATACTAATTGAGTGTATGTACACTTCTGACCCACTGGGAATGTGATGAAAGAAATAAAAGCTGAAATAAATCACTCTACTATTATTCTGACATTTCACATTCTTAAAATAAAGTGGTGATCCTAACTGACCTAAAACAGGGAATTTTTACTAGGATTAAATGTCAGGAATTGTGAAAAACTGAGGTTAAATGTATTTGGCTAAGGTGTATGTAAACTTCCGACTTCAACTGTACGTACGTACGTGCATGCATACACAGTAAACCTGATTATGAAACTAGACTGACTCCAACTGTCTTTCTTTCTCTCCTCTCTTTCCTTCATGTTACTCTTCTCCTCTCCTCCCTTTTTAGTACCAAACGCTCAGACTACCTGAACACCTTTGAGTTCCTGGATAAACTGTCAGAGAACCTGAAGACCAAGATGTTCAACCAACCCTAACTGTGATCACCTCATCTACCAACTTCACACACATACTATTGACACCCGGGACTATGGGCCAACACTGAACCACTGACGGGGGACTGTCTGCCCAGAACCTAACCAGAGCTTCTAGAAGACCTAGGACCCTCTGGACTTATTCATTCCCACCACCAGCAGTCTGTCGGCTAAAGGAGGTGTCTTGTCCAGGGGGAGGGGATGTCCTCCTAAAGCTAATGCATCATTCCCATCTGAACTACTTGCCATTGCTGTCCCACTCTCCCCCTGCTTGCTGTTGCTTGGCAATATGAATATTCATGTAGACTCATTAAACTCAATGTGCCTCTGATTTCATTGCTGGACTGTTTCAATATTACCCAACAATTTTCCAAGTCACATCAAGGGACACCTACTTGATCTGCTCTGTTGGCCTCAACCTAACTCATATACCCCCTCCCTGTTCCCACTGTCTGACCACAAGATCCTTCATTTCTCTCTTCCCTCATACTCACCCCACCCCACAGCACTGACAAACGCCTGATCTCCTTCCGCAACATAAAAGCTGTTGACCCCCTCCAACTCTCTGATGCCATCTGCTCTGCCCTGCCCCTTGACCACGCCTCCAACTCACCTGATGAACTAGCTGCCCAATTCAACACTGCTCGGTCTCCCTCAATTCTCTGGAACAGACTGTTGCCTCCCAATTACAAACCCACCTGCTAATCAACAACCTATTCAAGCCCCTCCTGTCTGGTTTCCGCCACAGTACTGAAACTGCACTCCTCAAAGTTGTGAATGACCTCTGCTGATGCTGGTGCCCTCAACATCCTGATTCTCCTAGACCGGAGTGCCGCTTTTGACACATCAGATTGAGGGTCTGGGTGTTGAGGGCACCGTACTCTCCTGGCTACAATCATACCTCATAAACCATAAACCGGACCCACTACATCTCCCTCAATGGCCACACCTCAAGACTCAGCTGCAGTTACACAGGGTGTCCCCCAGGGTGCTGTGCTGGGCCCCTGACTCTTCATCTACATCCTCGGTCAGATGACACCCAGATCTACCTCAGCACCAAATCCCTATTCAACCCACCTCTGACCCACATTGAATCCTGCCTCTCTACAATATAAACATGGATGCAACAAAACTTCCTCAAGCTAAACAGATAAAACGGAACTCCTACTCATAGGTACCAAATCCACCCTCGCCAAAGCTAGCAATCTCGCCATTGACGACGCCACTGTCTCTCCCTCCCCCACGCACGCAACCTTGGCATCATCCTGGACTCCACCCTCTCCTTTGACCACCACATAAGACACTGTCAAATCCACATTTTTCCACTTCCGCAACATTGCCAAAGTCAGGTCCTCCCTCTCCCGTCCTGCTTCTGGCATGAACTCGAGCTCCCTCCATAAGCTCCAAATGGTTCAAAACTCTGCAGCCCGACCCCTCACCCACACTAAGTCCTGGCAGCACATCACCCCTGACCTCCGTGAACTTCACTAGCTTCCTGTCTCCCAACGCATTGATTACAAGCTCTTCCTTCTGACCTACAAAGCCCTTCACCACTCCCCCCCCTTACCTCTCAGACATTCTTGTCCCCTACTAACCCACACGCCCCTTACCCTAAACCGGGTTCGTATCCTAACCCACACGCCCCTTACCCTAAACCGGGTTCGTATCCTAACCCACACGCCCCTTACCCTAAACCGGGTTCGTATCCTAACCCACACGCCCCTTACCCTAAACCGGGTTCGTATCCTAACCCACACGCCCCTTACCCTAAACCGGGTTCGTATCCTAACCCACACGCCCCTTACCCTAAACCGGGTTCGTATCCTAACCCACACGCCCCTTACCCTAAACCGGGTTCGTATCCTAACCCACACGCCCCTTACCCTAAACCGGGTTCGTATCCTAACCCCAACCCTCCCCTCCCCATACACTGATACATCACTCTTTCTCTTATTTTAGCCCACCCCTCTCTTTATTCATGTTTTTGTTTTGACTATTACATTTTTTACAATTGTAAAGTGACTTTAGGTCTTTAAAGCGCTATGTAAGTCCCATGTTGTATTATTAAATGTAGGCTTCAGATGTAGGTTGAGCTGAGGCCCCCCTCTCCATTGATCATTCACCACTATGGTCAAGCCAAATCTTATGGTAACACTCAGCCAATCTAAGTGGCCTGAATCCTAACTTGAGATCCACGAGCATAACTTGTGATTTAACACGATTTAAGCAATCGCCGAGTGAAGTATGACCGTTAATGAATGATGGACACAGAAATAATCAGTATCCTTTATGCTAATTGCACTAGGGTCCCCTATAGTTGGTGGCGATGTCATTTTCTTTGGTGTTGTCGGTCAGTGAGCAGTGATCGGAGACAGTCCTGCCTGAGTTTGTCTGAGGGTAGTCGTACCCTTTTGTTGCCTTGTTTTATGTCAAGTGACCTCGGTCTGTCATACCATAATATATTCCATGACAACTACTGTAGTAGAAGAAAGCCTGTTTTGAGTTTTTGACAGTCTTGACTTGATGGTGTCATTGATTCACACAAAGCTATAGTAGCATCACTCACTCGTTGTGGAAGAGATCGTTTTAAGCCTGCTTGTTGTCTTTGTGTGTTTAATATGTTAACACCTTACCCCTCATATAGAAACCAGTGTCAATGTACCTTCATCTGCCAGTAAGCACACAGAACCAGGGGATGTAGGTTTGTACTCGACAGTCTGTGTGGTCAGAATATTAACTCAATAAATGGGCTTTGGAGAAAATTGTGGTCTTGTGCGTTCAGTATTTCTTGTCTATTACACCATTTAAAAATGTTGTGTTGTAAAACGATGTTTATCTAGCGCCACGATCTTACAAAAAATACTTTGGAAGATTTTAAAGTTTCTTACAGTTTGCCCCCAGATGGTGCCATTGTAATCTGTGTGACATTGTTTATCAGGTGTAATAGCTTCTTCCATTTCATGCAGAGATAAGATGTATAACAATGGGCTATATCCAATGTATTATCAGTTGCAGCACAACATCCCTCAAATCCTTATAAAGCACTGTATGGATGACTGTGTATGATATGTCCACATGGAGTATAGGCCTACAGTGGTGCACCTTCCACATGTACATAGTCAGGAGCACCCTTGGCATGATTAGCCTTTTGCACCAGATGCAATCCACGCGGTTAATCCTAGCGCAAGTGGAAATGGGTGGATAGACCCAGAGGGAAATAAAGGAAACGGAGGCACTTGGACATCCAATGGAAGATGGCGAGAACCAAGGCTTCCAAAAAGGTATCAAAAGCCTGTAGGGCTGCTACTATTGTCCCAACGTAATTGGATTTGGTCCGGGAGAAGAAAGTCCCATTTACCAGTCTGAGGCTCCACATAGATGGCTGTGCCACTGAAAGAGCAGGATGATTAGCTGTGAATGGGAACAGTGGTTACTATTTTCAAAACTGGGATGGATGGATGGGCCAACAGGACATTGCTTGTTGATGTGGGTCTTCTTGATCTATCAGCTCTCAGAGGGAGTAAACACATTAGCTGGTATTTGTGAACCAAAACTTATTTGGAAGTCTTAAAGAAAGCCTCCAGCAAAAAATAATGATTTCTAAAAAGGTCTATATTCACAAGGTCAACGAGTAGGCGACTACCATAGAGATAGAACATCAGCCTTTCTACAGCGGAGAGTGGGCTATGTTGAGCCCTTTTTTTACATTCAGCATCACCTACGTCAAGGTAAATCTAGTAGTCTTTCTAACAAAGATATCTACATATATTTCAGGATATTGTGTATCCCTGGAAATAATCAGAATTCATGTAAACATAACAGTTTTGAAAACATTGCTTGTTCAAAAAAAAGTGGTCTCTTGGCACAACTTATGTACAGTGAGGGAAAAAAGTATTTGATCCCCTGCTGATTTTGTACGTTTGCCCACTGACAAAGAAATAATCAGTCTATAATTTTACTGGTAGGTTTATTTGAACAGTGAGAGACAGAATAACAACAAAAAAATCCAGAAAGACGCATGTCAAAAATGTTATAAATTGATTTGCATTTTAATGAGGGAAATAAGTATTTGACCCCCTCTCAATCAGAAAGATTTCTGGCTCCCAGGCGTCTTTTATACAGGTAACGAGCTGAGATTAGGAGCACACTCTTAAAGGGAGTGCTCCTAATCTCAGCTTGTTACCTGTATAAAAGACACCTGTCCACAGAAGCAATCAATCAATCAGATTCCAAACTCTCCACCATGGCCAAGACCAAAGAGCTCTCCAAGGATGTCAGGGACAAGATTGTAGACCTACACAAGGCTGGAATGGGCTACAAGACCATCGCCAAGCAGCTTGGTGAGAAGGTGACAACAGTTGGTGCGATTATTCGCAAATGTAAGAAACACAAAAGACTGTCAATCTCCCTCGGCCTGGGGCTCCATGCAAGATCTCACCTCGTGGAGTTGCAATGATCATGAGAACGGTGAGGAATCAGCCCAGAACTACACGGGAGGATCTTGTCAATGATCTCAAGGCAGCTGGGACCATAGTCACCAAGAAAACAATTGGTAACACACTACGCCGTGAACGACTGAAATCCTGCAGTGCCCGCAAGGTCCCCCTGCTCAAGAAAGCACATATACAGGCCCGTCTGAAGTTTGCCAATGAACATCTGAATGATTCAGAGGAGAACTGGGTGAAAGTGTTGTGGTCAGATGAGACCAAAATGGAGCTCTTGGCATCAACTCAACTCGCCGTGTTTGGAGGAGGAGGAATGCTGCCTATGACCCCAAGAACACCATCCCCACTGTCAAACATGGAGGTGGAAACATTATGCTTTGGGGGTGTTTTTCTGCTAAGGGGACAGGACAACTTCTCCGCATCAAAGGGACAATGGACGGGGCCATGTACCATCAAATCTTGGGTGAGAACCTCCTTCCCTCAGCCAGGGCATTGAAATGGGTCGTGGATGGGTATTCCAGCATGACAATGACCCGAAACACACGGCCAAGGCAA